TATCTATCTATCTATCTATCTATCTATCTATCTATCTATCTATCTATATATCTATATATCATATATATCATAGATAGATAGATAGATAGATAGATAGATAGATAGATACACACACACACACCATATATAAACTATCTCAGTGCAAGAAGACCTCCCTTTGTAGAGCTGCTGTATTGTCTCTGAAAAAGTCAGCTATTCAGGCATCATAAATATAATTAGAGCAGTATTCTAACTGAAGCAAGTGTTCAGGAGACCTGGATAGGCAATATAGTGTCAGAAGATGTTGGTATCTAGCAGCCTAGCACCACTGTGTTCCCTATTCAGTTGCCAAGAATGTTGTTGACCCATATTCTAGTAGACCAATTCTCAACTGTTATCTTAAGAGGCATCCATTCTTATCAAGGTACCTGGGCTCCACCATGCCTCTTATAAAATGCCCATTTTTCCCCAAGGAGGAAAAAACACCACCCATCTGAAAAATCATATGGGTGCTGTACATATAATTTATATTAAGCCTGGAAATATCACTGATTTACTGTAATATGTTTAACCTAGACTCCTTTTGAATCCAGCACGAAGAACATGTTCTACCAATTCAGAATCACTGTAGTAGATAAGACATGGCTCTTAAGCATTTGGGAACAGTGAACATTGACCAATGCACACAGAGTGGTGCCATATGGGTATATACCAATAGTTTTATTGTAATTGCTTTAATGTTTTTTTTGTTGCTTGATGTAAGCTGCTCAGAGCCATTTGGAATTGAGAGCATTAATAAAGTTCATTGGAGAAACCACTAAATTTACAGTGTTATTTGAAAAGGTGGGTTCACATTCTATTCCCTAGTGGTTCTCAGTAGATTTTGTCAGTACATTAACTAAAGCAATTGCCAGTTCACCCCTCTTTGCCCATTTCTGTGACCCAGGAACTCTCTTGTGCCACTGCTTTGCTGTATTTGAGAGCTGCTGCTACTGCTGGCAGAGTAGCAGCCCCCCCCCCCCCCCCAAAAAAAAAAATGCTGATTAGAGCAAAAAGATCTGGAGAAGCATCACAGGGGACAGGCAGGAGTCCTTTTTCTCCATTTGTTTACCAGCTGAACACCTAAGGCAGCAAATTTATATAACCAATGTGACATCTTGAAGTTGCATATATTTATAAAAAGTAGGTTCTGTTGTAGTAAATGTGGGATGTCTTCCCAGCAGATAATGAAAATATTACTTAATCTCTCTCAGCCAAAGATAATACTATTATCAGTGAATCTAGGAATAATTATAGTTCTGTGATAAATTCTTGGGCTATTTTAAAAATTCCAATTTTCCTCTTTCCAATTTTAGATCCCAAGGAACTTTATTATAGAAAATTGATTTTAAAAGCAAGTACTAGATGGCATAATTGAGTCAAGATAATTGTGTAAATGCTTTCAGCTGTTCTGTGTCCCAAAAAGCAAAAGGAAATAACTAACATGTTCATTATTTCCCTATGGAGATTGATCATTGGATTTTTATCCCACTTTTATTATGCTATAAGTAAGTCAAGCAGCAATCACACCTAATTCTCCTTCCTATTTTCTCCATAATAACAACCCTATGGGGCAGGATGGGCTGAAAGAGAGTAACTGGCTCAAAGTCACTACTGGTGTTCATACGTAAGGCAGGACTAGAACTCACAATCTCCTGGTTTCTAGCTAAGCACTTTCCCTAAGACACCAAACTTAAATTTTGCTTTAAGTGATGGATCTGTGATGGAACTGTAGTTTTGGTTTTGTGTTCTCCAACTTGGTGCCTTCAAAGATGTTAGATCTACTCCCATAAGCATCTCCTAGCATGACCAGTGAAAGGGTTTATGGTGAATTAAGGGAACAGATCAAGTAGATCTGGAAAGTACAAAATTGGGGAAGACTGATGCAGTGTATGGTTTTGCAACCCAACATTGCCCTAACCGTTTGAAGAAAAACTGAATACATACTGTTCTGCACAGAGATCATATTTTATTGAAAGACAGTGGTGTAGAGGATCCAGATGTTACAGTGCAGATAGTTCTTAAATAATCAAAGGTATGTCACACTATGCATCCAGAAAGAAAAAAAGCACCTATTCACTTAATGTTTGTGAATGAAAGACAAACCACTATATCTTCTGGTCTGTTGGAATAGCACAACACGAAGGTAATTGTAGACATTGGTTGGGGTTTTCCTTGAGGTCTCCTCTTCAGGTTGTGCTCCAGTTTCAGTTTTCTTCACATCTTCCAGGAATTAGTAAGCCTAAAACTGACCAGAGACCTTACGCTTATTAAGACAGTTGAACCTCCATGTAGCGCAAAACGAATGTAAAATGAACTTGTCCACTGTTCCCTAAAATAAGAATTTTTATTGGAAATGGGAGTAGAAGATAACTTATATTATGAACAAACAACATCTTCCAGCGACTGATTTATGGGGGGAAGTCCTTCAGCAGCAGTCCCATTGACCAGAGGTAGCACCTTTTAAGATAATGCTCTGGAGCAATTTATATACATTTGCAAAAGCTGATTCTCTTGCTATAGGCATCAACTTCTTCACTGTTCTTTCTCATTACAAACTGGATTATATAGAAAAAAATGGAAAGGAATTATACAAATAATTGAGGCAGGATGCCATAATCTCTCTTGGGTCAAACCAAACCCAGAAAACTTTCCATGTCCTAACCATTACTGATTTTATTTAACACATTAAACATCTTAAATAGCAGAGAGAGAGAGAGAGTGAGAAACACACACACACAGAGAGACTGACAATATTCCTAATTGGCAGTCCTCAGTTAAAAACATCATTTTGACTAGTTCTTCTCTGTGTGTGGGACTCTATTGTGCCCTCATTACTTAACAGTTGCTGCCCTGGTGTGGTTTGGCGGAAAAAAAAGGAGAATTGAATCAGGCTGACAGAATTGGGGGCTCAAATAATATCCTCCATGAGGACTGATTAAGGCACTTCCATCTCATGCCTCATTTCCTAGCACTGAGGGATGTTCATTTGGCTTCCCGTGTGAGAAGTTGCAACAAGATTTGTCCAAGGTTTTAAATGATTTTTTTTCTGAATGAGGATCTCCGAACAACTTCACCACCACCACCATCATCCCCATCAGAAAATATCTGTTCTCTGGTTGCTTTATTATCAAAAGCAAAAGGGTCAGTCCAGATGCTTGGCAGGCCAACCCTACTGAGTTGCTCCCCTTAGGCCACTCAAAAAAGAGTACTCTAAGGACACACACACACACACAAACAAATCCTTGAAAAGATTTCTCTTCCCCCACCCTGCTTCCCAATGCCCCCTCCCTCCCTGTTACCCATGCCAGTTTTCAAAAGCTCTTCTGCTTGTTAATCCTTCATTTAGTGGAAATTGGTTGCTCTCACTGTGGAGGAACCAAGTCCCTCAGCATTCTGCAATTTCTTTGCACGGTGAAAGACTCTTGTGGTGCTTTAGCCTTTCTCAAGGGCGTCCCTGTATCTGAGAGGAGTTCACCTCAGGGATGAAGGCCCAGAGATCCTTTATGTTTTCTTCATTTCCCATTCCTAGGAGAGAAAAAAGGTAGGGAAAAGGGGAAACAACATTGTGGGCTACTGAGTTACAAAGGAGATATCCATGCTTGAATAAATTGAAGAAAGGAATGAGGAAATTGAGTCCTGAAGCCAGAGTTGATATCTTGGCTCTAGCTGAACTTTTCATAAGGGAGGCAAAATTTAGTGAGGCACACTTATGTATCCAGGATAAATGTTGCTCCTCCAATATCCTTTGGATGCTGCTTGAGGAATTCTTTAGAGACTTTTGTAACTTGCTTTTTTACCAACAGCATTCTCACCAAAATTTGTGATCAAATATTTACTATATATTTTCTATTATAGAAATGTCCTAACCTCCATAAAGAGATCGTATATTTTTTGCCTTGCCACAAAAAGTCAGCAATCTCTGCCAGGATTGGCCCTAACTTAGCTGCACTATGTCCCTAACATAGCTGCACTATGGGCAAAAGGCAAGACGGCATCCTTCCATTTGATGTGTAGAGCTGACAGGGCCAGCGTCTGAATTTCATTTCAAAAGAAGGCAAACCCAGCTGTCTTGTTTCCAATCCCCTAGCAACAGTTGCCTGAGACAATGGCCTCACTTGGTGTTATGGGCTTTGACTATAACCAGTGAGCAGGTCTGTAACTAGGCCAAAAGACCTGACAATGGAGTAAGTTGCTTGTTGTAATCATTCTGAAGCTATGAAATCAGAAACA